TGGGGGACAGGGGGGGACGTGGGGGACATGGGGGACATGGGAGGACACAGGGGGACAGGGGGGACACAGGAGAACGTTGGGGAACACAGGGTGACACAGGGGGACACAGGGGATTATAGGGAGACATGGGAGAACATGGGGGGCATGGGGGGACACGGGAGGACACGGGGGGACACTGGGGACACAGGGGGACACGGGGGTCTCACCAGGGTGAGGTTGCACCAGCGGATGGAGAAGTGGGGGGCGAAGGTGTCGTAGCAGGAGGCGAGGGGACGCTGGCCGCGGTGACAGCGGGAGCGGCTCTGCGGGGACACGGCCGCCACCAGGCACGGCGAGAAGGGGCTGTGGGAGCCCACCTGGACGTACACCCTGGCGACAGCGACCCCAAACCCGGCCCCGGTGAGGAGAGGGCCACCCTCACCTCCACCGCTGCTGCGAGGTGACCCCAAAACCCCCGCGGGGGACCCAGAGTGTCCCCGGGACCCCCCCGGCGCTGCCCGTACCCCTCTTTGCGACCCTCGATGGGCAGCGGGACGCGGCCACCGCGGTCCAGGGCGGAGGTGACATTGATGACGTGCAGGTCCCCGCGCTCCCAGAGCCCGGCCGCGGCCTCCAGGAACATCTCCCGCGCCGCCTCCGGCAGCAGCTCCTCCACGTCCCTGTTCCCCACCAGGAACTCGGCCTGGAACGGCGCCTCCCCACCTGCAGGGACAGGTGGCACCCGTGGGGACACCCCGTGGCCACCGCGGGGCCATCCCGGGGGGTTTGGGGCTCTCCAGCCATACCTGGGGCGGGGGTGACACCAGGAGAACACAGGGGACATGGGGAAACATGGGGGGACACAGGGGGACAGAGGGGACACTGGGAATGTCTCCCCACCTGCAGGGACAGGTGGCACCCGTGGGGACACCCCGTGGCCACCGCGGGGCCATCCCGGGGGGTTTGGGGCTCTCTAGCCATACATGTGGCAAGGGTGACACCTATGAACAGGGGAACACGGGGGACAGAAGGGACACAGGGGAACATGGGGGGACATGGGTGACATGGGGGACACAGGGGGACACGGGGGACACAGGGGACACGGGTGACATGGGGAATGTCTCCCCACCTGCAGGGACAGGTGGCACCCGTGGGGACACCCCGTGGCCACCGCGGGGCCATCCCGGGGGGTTTGGGGCTCTCCAGCCATACCTGGGGCAGGGGTGACACCGATGAACAGGGGAACACAGGGGAACATGGGGGACACGGGGGGACACAGGGGACATGGGGGACACTGGGAATGTCTCCCCACCTGCAGGGACAGGTGGCACCCGTGGGGACACCCCGTGGCCACCGCGGGGCCACCCGGGGGGGTTTGGGGCTCTCCAGCCGTACCTGGGGCGGGGGTGACACCGATGACGAGGCGCTGGCTCGCGGTGGCGAAGGTGCGCCGGTTGTAGGCCAGCACCTGAGGGGACAGAGGGGACACCTGGCATGGGCCAGCCGTGCTCGTGGCCCCCCCCCGGAGCCCGGGCCGTACCTGGAGGCGGTGGGTGCCCAGCTCGGGGGGCAGCGGGCAGCCGTACAGGAAGCCGGGCTGGCCGGGACCGCGCTGGGCCAAGCGCAGCCACCGCGGCAGGTCCGGCCGCTCCCACAGGTGGGCACGGAAGGTCACGGGGGCTGCGGGGACACGGGCACTGCCAGGGGGTCCCCACAAAGGGATCGCCCCTGGGGGTGCTGCTCCACTTCTGAGCTGGGACCCCAAACAGAGGGGAGCCCTCAAGGCGGAGCCCAAAGCAGTGGGAGCCCCAAAGGGGACGGACGGACAGACAGAGCGCAGCTGGGGGGTCCCGGAGGGGGTCGCTGGGCAATGCCCCCCCTTTTGCCATCCCCAGCCCCCCGGCCTGGCCCTCACCATCGTCATCCTCGCTGCCGCTGAAGGCCTCCAGGAACGGCTCCCGCTCCAGCTCGTGCACGAAGACGGCTCCGGTCTCGGCAGAGACGCGGAGCTCGGGGAGGACGTGGTGCTCGGGGACAGTGGCCGGGGACACCCCCAGGGCCAGGGCTGTGGCCACACACCGGGCTGGAGCCAGGGCTGCCACCGCGGCCCCTCCCTGCCTCAGTTTCCCCAGCGCCCACAGACCCCTGGGACTCTCGGAGGGGCAGGAACGTGTCCCCGCAGTGCCAGGTGTCCCCGCAGTGCCAGGTGTCCCCAGAGCGGGAGGAGGTTTAGTGGGGACAGGGACAAAACAGGGTCAGGGCTGGGGCAAGGCAGGGGACAGGATGGGATGGGGACAAGGGCAGGATGGCCCCAGCACCCTCCCCGGCCCTGGTGTCACACACAAGTCCCACTCATTGTCCCCGCAGTGTCCCAGCCCCCGTGGCACCGGGACAGGGTGGCTTTTTTTAGCTCTGGCACGTCCCAACCCCGTCCGCCCTGTCCTCCCCCCCTGCACCCCCTGTGTCCCCCCCCACTTTGGGGTCCCCCGTCCCCTCCGCTCCCCCCAGGTCCGGCCGTGTCCCCCGGGGGGTGACAGGGCTGTCACTCGCCTGCCAGCACCCAGAGCCGGAGCAGCTCGGGGCCCTCCATGTTCGCGGCGCCGGGAGCGGGGCCAGCGCTGATTGACGGAGGCAGCGGGGCCGGGGGGGCCCTCGGGGGGGTCCCACAGGGGACACCCCTCCACCGCCACCTCCTGTCACCAAGGCACGGAGCTCCGGGGCTGCCCAGGGGCTCCCGTGTCCCCCCGAGGTGTCCCCAGGGTGGGTTTGTCCCAGTGCCCCCACTCGGGGGTAGCGGGGTGGCCGGGGGGGGACACTTGGGGACACCTGGGGACAGCCGAGACCCCCCGGCATGGCCACCAGCGAGAGGGGAAGACGCGTGTGCGCTGCGTGGGGACGGTGACACGAGCGGGGGGCGCTGGGACAGAGGGGGGTGGCAGCGACGGGGACCTGGGGGGGGGCCATGGCAGCGGCGGAAGGGGAAGGGGAGGGGAGGGGGTGGTCGTGGGGGGCCGCCCCCCCGTGTCGCGTCACGCCTCGTCACGCACAAAGGGCCGGAGGTGCCGTGGGTGACACGGGGAGGGGACAATCACACATCTGCGGGGTCCTGCTGCCCCCTCACTGTGACCAGGGGTGTCCCCTGTCCCCCCCCTCCCCCCGCAGCAGGGACCCCAACACGGCCCCGGGGGTGGGGTCTGCCCCCCTCGCCCTCAGGCACCCAGTGGGAGGAGAAAAAACGCAAAAAACCACCCCAAAATATCCCCCGGCTGTGCAGAAAGGGGGGGGGGGGCACACTGTACCCCCTAGCCCAGGTCCTTGTCACAGTGTCCCCTCCTGCCACCACTGCCAGGGATGTGCTGCACCCCCGGAGGGGTTGAGGGGGACATCGGGGTCCTGTGGGGACACTGAGGGACAGCGGGGCCGGGGGGGCTTTGGGTGTGGGGAGGGGAGGGGGGGACAGGGGGGACACGCGGGGACAGAGCTGGGGGGTGGCACCAGCGGCCGAGCGGGCGGGGGGGGCCCCACACTGCACAGCGCGGCTGCCGGGGGGGCCCCGCCGCAGGGAGGGGACCCCGGTGCGGGCGCGGCGAGGGGACCGCAGGGGACGCGCGGGGGGTCCCCATGGCCGGGCTGCGGCGGCGGCGGCGGCGCTGAGGCCGAAGAGCGGCTGAGGAAGAGGAAGAGCGAGCGCTGCTCAGACCCAGAGGGCTCTGCGGGCAGCGGGGCGGGCAGAGCGCGGCGGCGGCGGCGGCGGCGGCGGCGGCTCCATCACCGGCGCGCAGAAAGGGGAAGAGGAGGAGGAGGAGGAGCGGCGAGGAAGGAAGGAAGGCAGGAAGGAAGGAAGAAGCGCCGCGGCGGAGGGGCCCGCGGGATGGCCATGGCCTGACGGCGCCGGGGCAGCGCTGCCCCCCGGCACAGCCCCCCGGCACAGCCCCCCGCCCATGGCGCGGTAGCGGGCGCGGGGCCCGGGGGCAGCGGCGGCGGTGGCGGCGAGCGATGCGGGCGCCGGGACCATGCTGAGGACCGAGGCCGGCGGGGCCGGGGGAGCCCCCTCGGCCGGGGGAGCGGCGGGGGCCGGGGGGCTGCGCAGCGCGTCCCCGCACCGGAACGCCTACGAGGCCACCATCCAGGCCCTGGCGCCCACAAAGGAGGCCGATGGCGAGGACGGCAAGAAGAGCCGCGGCAAGAAGTATGGCTCCAACGTGCATCGGATCAAGAACATGTTCCTGCAGATGGGGACGGCGCCCGGCCCCGAGGGCGCCTGCGACCTGGCCAAGGCCAAGGAGAAGCCGGTGCGCCTGTCCCTGCCCCGCGCCGGCAGCCTCGGCGACGGCGTGGACCAGGGCAGCCTCCTCAAGCTGGGCACCAGCGTCTCGGAGCGCGTCAGCCGCTTTGACTCCAAGCCCGACAAGCCCTTCTCCAAGCTGCAGGAGACCCGCAAGATCTTCGAGAGGAGCCCTCAGGAGAAGGCCACCAGCACCAAGCTGCTGCTGCGCAAGGAGCGCGCCGGCTTCCAGGACCGCAAGCTGGACGTGGTGGTGAGGTTCAACGGCAGCACCGAGTCGCTGGACAAGCTGGACGCCGACGCCGTGTCGCCCACCGTGAGCCAGCTCAGCGCCGTCTTCGAGAAGGCCGACCTGAGGAACAACCTGCACAAGGCGCAGGGCCGGGCGGCCGCGCCGCTCAACGCCAAGGCGGTGGCCAAGAGGCCCAGGGTGTTCGCGCCTGGCACCCGGGGCGACGGCCCGGCCGACGGCCACGCTGCCCCGGCCCGTGCCCGGCCGCCCGACGAGGAGAAGGCGGCGGCGAAGAGCGGGCGGCCAGTGGAGAAGGAGGCGGCCGCGCCGAGGGTGCAGGAGGTCTGCAAGATCAAGCCCGTGGAGGTGGAGGAGAGCGGAGAGGGCGAGGAGGAGGAGGAGGAGGCAGCGGCGGGTGAAGCGGTGCCCGCGCCCCAACCGGCCAAAGGGGACGAGGGTCCCGCGGCCCCCCGGCTGGACGGGGGCTCGGGGGCGGCCGCGGGCGAGGAGGGCGTCAAGGGCGAGCGGGCGGAGGAGGGCGATGGCTCCGAGGAGGCCAAGAAGGAGGACTTCTCCGAGGCCGACCTGGTGGACATAAGTGCCTACAGCGGGCTCGGGGAGGACTCGGGGGGCAGCGGGCTGGAGGAGGAGGAGGAGGCCGAAGGGCTGTACGAGCCCGAGTCGGGCTGCGTGGAGATCCCGGGGCTGTCCGAGGAAGAGGAGCCCGTCCCCAACCGCAAGATCCAGTTCAGCACGGCCCCCATCCAGGTGAGCCTGGCTGGGCACGGGGGCGGCTGAGCAGGGAGGGACGGAGGGAACCCAGGGTCAGGGGTGCCAGGGTGAGGGGTACCCCAGGATGAGGAGTACCCCAGGGTGAGGAGTACCCCAGGATGAGGGGTACCCCAGGGTCAGGGGTGCCAGGGTGAGGGGTACCCCAGGGTGAGGGGTGCCAGGGTGAGGGGTACCCCAGCGGGCTCGGGGAGGACTCGGGGGGCAGCGGGCTGGAGGAGGAGGAGGAGGCCGAAGGGCTGTACGAGCCCGAGTCGGGCTGCGTGGAGATCCCGGGGCTGTCCGAGGAAGAGGAGCCCGTCCCCAACCGCAAGATCCAGTTCAGCACGGCCCCCATCCAGGTGAGCCTGGCTGGGCACGGGGGCGGCTGAGCAGGGAGGGACGGAGGGAACCCAGGGTCAGGGGTGCCAGGGTGAGGGGTACCCCAGGGTCAGGGGTACCCCAGGGTGAGGGGTACCCCAGGGTCAGGGGTACCCCAGGGTCAGGGGTACCAGGGTGAGGGGTACCCCAGGGTGAGGGGTACCCCAGAGTGAGGAGTACCCCAGGGTCAAGGGGTGCCAGGGTGAGGGGTATCCCAGGGTGAGGAGTACCCCAGGGTGATGGGCAGCCCAGACTGGGGTGTGTGACCCCCACACAATCACCCCTTTGGCAGAGACAGAAAAAGGGGCTGGGGGTCTGTGTCCCCATGCCCTGTGCCCCCCATGGGACAGGGCTGCCTGCCTGTCCCTGTCCCTGTCTCTGTCTCTGTCCCTGTCCCTGTCCCTGTCCCTGTCCCTGCCCTGTGCTGGGGGAAGCAGGGCCTGGGCCTGGCTAACGAGCTAATTAATGAAGGGCCATGCCTGGACCCCCAAGCCCGCTGTGATGGGGACAGGTGGCCCTGGGACCCGCAGTGGGGGGCACGGCACAGCACCCAGTGCCACCCCACCCCCATCGTGCCCAGGCCGGGCCAAACCCGCTCCATTTTTTGGGTGGGGATGCCCGAAATGCCCCGGAGTGAGGGGCTGGGACATCCCTCGGGGTCGGGGCTCCTCCCTGCCCGGGGGTCCCTGGGGACAAGGTGGCGATGGGGGGGGGATGTGCCACCCCACCCCACCCCCTCCCCGTGTGCCCAAACCGGTGCCCAGGACGGTTTCGGGAAGTGGAGGCAGGGGAGGAAGAGGAGGAAGGGGAGGAAGGGAGGAAGGGGAAGTGCCTCGGCAGCGTGGCCGGGTGGGCGGCAGCACCCCCCGCTCTCGGCAGGGATCCTGCGGGGTTGGGGGTCTCCAGCCGGGATTTGGGGTGGGGGGGGGATAAAGGGGCCGTGCAGCTATTTCGGGGTGTGCCCGGATCCCCCCGACCGCAGGAGCAGCGCTTGCTTTGTGCCGGAGCCGGGTTATTTTTAGAGGCCGGCCTATATTCTGGCTCTGAGTCAGAGCGGGTGGGTGGCCCCACCTGGGACAGGGGACAGCCACCGCCGTGGCCCGGCCGGGGACAGTGCTGGCCCTGAGCTGGGGTGCCAGAGGGTGGCCTTGGTCCCGGGGGATGCAGCCAGCCCAGCCCTGGGGAAGGTGCCCTGGCCGTGGATGGGGTTTTGGGGTGCTCTTCTCACTCCATAGATGGGGATTTTGGGTGCTCTGCTCACTCCATGGATGGGGTTTTTGGGGTGCTCTTCTCACTCCATAGATGGGGTTTTGGGGTGCTCTGCTCACTCCACAGATGGGGTTTTGGGGTGCTTTGCTCACTCATATATAGGGATTTTGGGGTGCTCTACTCACTCCATGGATGGGGTTTTGGGGTGCTCTTCTCACTCCATAGATGGGGATTTTGGGGTGCTCTGCCCACTCCACAGATGGGGTTTTTGGGGTGCTCTGCTCACTCCATAGATGGGGATTTTGGGGTGCTCTGGTCCCTCCATCGATGAGGATTTTGGGGTGCTCTGGTCCCTCCATCGATGAGGATTTTGGGGTGCTCTGGTCCCTCCATCGATGAGGATTTTGGGGTGCTCTGGTCCCTCCATCGATGAGGATTTTGGGGTGCTCTGGTCCCTCCATCGATGAGGATTTTGGGGTGCTCTGGTCCCTCCATCGATGAGGATTTTGGGGTGCTCTGGTCCCTCCATCGATGAGGATTTTGGGGTGCTCTGGTCCCTCCATCGATGAGGATTTTGGGGTGCTCTGGTCCCTCCATCGATGAGGATTTTGGGGTGCTCTGGTCCCTCCATCGATGAGGATTTTGGGGTGCTCTGGTCACTCCATAGATGAGGATTTTGGGGTGCTCTGCTTACTCCATATATGGGGGTTTTGAGGTGCTCTGCGCACCCCTTGGATGCAGTTTTTGGGGTGCTCTGCTCACTCATATATGGGGTTTTTTGGGGTGCTCTGCTTGCCCCATAGATGGGGTTTTGGGGTGCTTTGCTCACTCATAGATGGGGTTTTTGGGGTGCTCTGCCCACCCCTTGGATGAGTTTTTTGGGGTGCTCTGCTCACTCCATAGATGACGACTTTGGGGTGCTCTGCTCAACCCAAAGCCTCTCAATTGGGGGAGGGGGCACGTGGGGGTGGAGGGCACCCAGGTGTTGGAGCACCCCAGCCCCCTGCCCGGGTGATGCTGAACCCCCCCAAACCCACTGTGGGGGGTGGGCGACCACCCCACCCAGCCCAGCACTGGGGGCACATTGCAGCCCCTTCCCCACATCCCAAACCCCCCCAGGACCCAGGGACAGGGCGGGGGGCACAGCAGGGGACCCCCACAGCCCCCAGGGACTTCCCGTGGCCAGGAGGACACGGTTCTGTCCCCTGCCCTGCTCCTCCCTGCCACCCCCGGCTGCCACACGGCTGGGTCCGGGGGTGTCACCGGGCTTTGTCCCCTGCCACTCGGCCCTAATTCCCTTTGTGGCCGGGCTTTATCCCGTGGGTGATCCCTAATCCACTCTCCCGGCGGCACCGAGGGGCTGGGGCCCCTCCAGGGACATCTGCCAGCCCCTCCCCAACAGCCCCCCGGGAGCAGGGCATGGCACCAGCCTGGGGACAGCAGCCTGGTGGCCCAGGGTGAGGTTTGGGGTGTTCAGGTCCCTTGTCCCCAAGCCATTCTCAATCCCTTTGTCCTTCCCCAGCTCCCCCTCGCTGTGGGGTTCTCTGGGGTCCCACGGGCTCGGTCCCACCCTGGGGGGCACCCGTGGTGTTTTCCCCCCCGGCTGAGCCCTCCCTCGTGCCCCCAGGTGTTCAGCACTTACTCCAACGAGGATTACGACCGCCGCAATGAGGACGTGGATCCCATGGCGGCCTCGGCCGAGTACGAGCTGGAGAAGAGGGTGGAGAGGCTCGACCTCTTCCCCGTGGAGCTGGAGAAAGGTGGGTGCTGCCCCCAGAGCCACCCCCGGGAGCCCCAGGGCACCCTGGAGGTGGCAGCCCGGCGGGACAGGGCTCTGTGTGCCCGCAGACTCGGAAGGACTCGGGATCAGCATCATCGGGATGGGCGCGGGGGCCGACATGGGCCTGGAGAAGTTGGGAATCTTCGTCAAGACGGTGACAGAAGGGGGGGCGGCGCACCGGGACGGCAGGTACGGCTGGGGACAGCGGGGCCGGGGGTGTCCCGGGGCTGGCCAGGGGCTGTGAGCCTGCCCTTGTCCCCAGGATCCAGGTGAACGACCTGATCGTGGAGGTGGACGGCACCAGCCTGGTGGGGGTCACGCAGAGCTTCGCCGCCTCCGTGCTCAGGAACACCAAGGGCCGTGTCCGGTACGACCCCAAAACCCCCCCCCAGGCCGTGCTGAACCCCGGGGATCCCTGCCCCACAGCCTGTCCCCACAGCCGCGTCCCCCATCTCCCCCCAGAGTGCCACCCTGGTGCCCTCAAAGTGCTCCCAGCCCCGCAGCACCGCTGAACCCGCCGCTCCCAGGACAGCTGCGGGGCTGTCCCCTGGGTGTCCCCCCCGTGACCCGCGGTGCCCCCCAGGTTCCTGATCGGGCGGGAGAAGCCGGGGGAGCAGAGCGAGGTGGCGCAGCTGATCCAGCAGACGCTGGAGCAGGAGCGGTGGCAGCGCGAGATGATGGAGCAGCGCTACACCCAGTACACCGAGGACGACGAGGAGGTGAGGGGACAGCGCCGCCAGCCAGGGGACACGGGCTGGGGGGGGGTGACACTGACCCTCAGGTGCCAACCCTGCCCTGTGCCCGCCGCAGACCGGGGAGTACGCCACGGACGAGGAGGAGGAGATGAGCCCCATGTTCCCCAGCGGGGAGATGGCCATCGAGGTGTTCGAGCTGGCCGAGAACGAGGACACGCTGTCCCCCGTGGAGATGGACCCCGAGAAGCTGGTGCACAAGTTCAAGGAGGTGAGGAGGGGCTGGGAGAGGGCAGGGGGTGCCCGGCCGGGGGGCTGTGCCCACCCCGTGCCCACCCCGGCTCTCCCACAGCTCCAGATCAAACACGCCGTGACCGAGGCTGAGATCCAGCAGCTCAAGAGGAAGGTGAGGGGGGGTCCTGCCTGTCTGGGGGTGGGGGACACCCTGACAGCTGCCCTGGCACCCTGAATGTCCTTCTGCACCTGCCCTGCCCGGGCCATTCCATGTCCTGCCTGTCACCTGGCTGTGCCATGCCCTGCCACGCTGTGCCGTGTCCCATCCCCTGGCTATGCCATGTCCTGCTTGTCACCTGGCTGTGCCATGCCCTGCCACGCTGTGCCGTGTCCCATTCCCTGGCTGTGCCATGTCCCATCCCCTGGCTGTGCCGTGTCCCATTCCCTGGCTATGCCATGTCCTGCTTGTCACCTGGCTGTGCCATGTCCTGCTTGTCACCTGGCTGTGCCGTGTCCTGCCACGCTGTGCCATGTCCCATCCCCTGGCTGTGCCGTGTCCCATTCCCTGGCTGTGCCATGTCCTACCTGTCACCTGGCTGTGCCATGTCACGCCACGCTGTGCCGTGTCCCATCCTCTGGCTGTGCCATGTCCTGCCTGTCATCTGGCTGTGCCATGTCACTCCACGCTGTGCCGTGTCCCATCCCCTGGCTGTGCCATGTCCTACCTGTCACCTGGCTGTGCCGTGTCCCATCCTCTGGCTGTGCCATGTCCTGCCTGTCACCTGGCTGTGCCATGTCCTGCCACGCTGTGCCGTGTCCCATCCCCTGGCTATGCCATGTCCTGCTTGTCACCTGGCTGTGCCATGTCCCATCCCCTGGCTATGCCGTGTCCCATTCCCTGGCTGTGCCATGTCCTGCCACGCTGTGCCGTGTCCCATCCCCTGGCTGTGCCATGTCCCATCCCCTGGCTGTGCCGTGTCCCACCCCGCTCCCCGGCTGTGCCACACCCCGTGGTGACACCGCTGTCCCCAGCTGCAGTGCCTGGAGCAGGAGAAGGCGCGCTGGAGGGCCGAGAAGGCCCAGCTGGAGCAGAGCGTGGAGGAGAACAAGGAGCGCATGGAGAAGCTGGAGGGGTACTGGATGGAGGCACAGAACCTGTGCCAGGCCGTGGACGAGCACCTCAAGGAGACCCAGGCCCAGTACCAGACCCTGGAGCGCAAGTGGTGTCCCCCCCCCTGCCCAGGCCCCCCGTCCCTGGGCACAGACCGTGACAATGGGCCGAGCCATCCCCTGGGCCGTGGGTCCATCCCCGTCTGTGGGTCTATCCCTGGCTGTTGTGCCGTGTCCCATCCTCTGGCTGTGCCATGTCCTGCCTGTCATCTGGCTGTGCCATGTCACTCCACGCTGTGCCGTGTCCCATCCCCTGGCTGTGCCATGTCCTACCTGTCACCTGGCTGTGCCATGTCACGCCACGCTGTGCCGTGTCCCATCCTCTGGCTGTGCCATGTCCTGCCTGTCATCTGGCTGTGCCATGTCACTCCACGCTGTGCCGTGTCCCATCCCCTGGCTGTGCCATGTCCTACCTGTCACCTGGCTGTGCCATGTCACGCCACGCTGTGCCGTGTCCCATCCTCTGGCTGTGCCATGTCCTGCCTGTCATCTGGCTGTGCCATGTCACTCCACGCTGTGCCGTGTCCCATCCCCTGGCTGTGCCATGTCCTACCTGTCACCTGGCTGTGCCATGTCACGCCACGCTGTGCCGTGTCCCATCCTCTGGCTGTGCCATGTCCTGCCTGTCATCTGGCTGTGCCATGTCACTCCACGCTGTGCCGTGTCCCATCCCCTGGCTGTGCCATGTCCTACCTGTCACCTGGCTGTGCCATGTCACGCCACGCTGTGCCGTGTCCCATCCTCTGGCTGTGCCATGTCCTGCCTGTCATCTGGCTGTGCCATGTCACTCCACGCTGTGCCGTGTCCCATCCCCTGGCTGTGCCATGTCCTACCTGTCACCTGGCTGTGCCATGTCACGCCACGCTGTGCCGTGTCCCATCCTCTGGCTGTGCCATGTCCTGCCTGTCATCTGGCTGTGCCATGTCACTCCACGCTGTGCCGTGTCCCATCCCCTGGCTGTGCCATGTCCTACCTGTCACCTGGCTGTGCCATGTCACGCCACGCTGTGCCGTGTCCCATCCTCTGGCTGTGCCATGTCCTGCCTGTCATCTGGCTGTGCCATGTCACTCCACGCTGTGCCGTGTCCCATCCCCTGGCTGTGCCATGTCCTACCTGTCACCTGGCTGTGCCGTGTCCCATCCTCTGGCTGTGCCATGTCCTGCCTGTCACCTGGCTGTGCCGTGTCCCATCCCCTGGCTATGCCATGTCCTGCTTGTCACCTGGCTGTGCCATGTCCCATCCCCTGGCTATGCCGTGTCCCATTCCCTGGCTGTGCCATGTCCTGCCACGCTGTGCCGTGTCCCATCCCCTGGCTGTGCCATGTCCCATCCCCTGGCTGTGCCGTGTCCCACCCCGCTCCCCGGCTGTGCCACACCCCGTGGTGACACCGCTGTCCCCAGCTGCAGTGCCTGGAGCAGGAGAAGGCGCGCTGGAGGGCCGAGAAGGCCCAGCTGGAGCAGAGCGTGGAGGAGAACAAGGAGCGCATGGAGAAGCTGGAGGGGTACTGGATGGAGGCACAGAACCTGTGCCAGGCCGTGGACGAGCACCTCAAGGAGACCCAGGCCCAGTACCAGACCCTGGAGCGCAAGTACAGCAAGGCCAAGCGGCTCATCAAGGAGTACCAGCAGAAGTGAGGGCAGCTCCCAGCGTCCCCTCGGGAAGGGACCTGTCCCCAGGGTGTCCCACTCCCTGCCCAGGCACCCCGTCCCTGGGCACAGACCGTGACAATGGGCCGAGCCATCCCCTGGGCCGTGGGTCCATCCCCGTCTGTGGGTCTATCCCTGGCTGTGTGTCCATCCCTGGCTGTGGGTCCATCCCCGGCTGTGGGTCCATCCCCATCCGTGGGTCCATCCCCATCTGTGGGTCCATCCCTGTCCCTGGGTCCATCCCTGTCCGTGGGTCCATCCCCGTCTGTGGGTCCATCCCTGCCCATGGGTCCATGCCTGTCCGTGGGTCCATCCCTGGCCGTGGGTCCATCCCTGTCCATGGGGCCATCCCTGTCACTGGGTCCGTCCCTGGCTGTGGGTCCATCCCTGGCTGTGGGTCCATCCCCATCTGTGGGTCCATCCCTGTCCGTGGGTCCATCCCCGTCCCTGGGTCCATCCCCGGCTGTGGGTCCATCCCCATCCGTGGGTCCATCCCTGTCCGTGGGTCCATCCCTGTCCATGGGTCCATCCCTATCTGTGAGTCCATCCCTGGCTATGGGTCCAGCCCTGTTCCTGGGTCCATCCCTGTCCATGGGTCCATCCCTATCTGTGAGTCCATCCCTGGCTATGGGTCCATCCCTGTCTGTGGGTCCATCCCTGACTGTAGTCCATCCCTGTTCCTGGGTCCATCCCTGTTCCTGGGTCCATCCCTGTTCCTGGGTCCATCCCTGTCCATGGGTCCATCCCTGTCCGTGGGTCCATCCCTGTCCATGGGTCCATCCCTATCTGTGAGTCCATCCCTGGCTATGGGTCCATCCCTGTTCCTGGGTCCATCCCTGTCCGTGGGTCCATCCCCTGGACACCAGACCCTCCCCAGGCAGCCCCTGTCCCTGTGCCCTTGGTGTGGAGCCCTTGAGAGGCTCTGACCGTCCGTGGGTCCATCCCCGTCCCTGGGTCCATCCCCGGCTGTGGGTCCATCCCCATCCGTGGGTCCATCCCTGTCCGTGGGTCCATCCCCGTCCCTGGGTCCATCCCCGGCTGTGGGTCCATCCCCATCCGTGGGTCCATCCCTGTCCGTGGGTCCATCCCTGGACACCAGACCCTCCCCAGGCAGCCCCTGTCCCTGTGCCCTTGGTGTGGAGCCCTCGAGAGGCTCTGACCCCTCCCTGGCATCCTCAGTGCCTGGGCACGGACGTCCTTCAGGCATGGACACATCCCTGAGGTGCCAAATCCTCCCTGGCACCCTCAGTGCCTGGCACGGACGTCCTTTGGGCAGGGACATATCCCTGAGATGCCAAATCCTCCCTGGCACCCTCAGTGCCTGGCACGGACGTCCTTCGGGCAGGGACACAACCCTGAGGTGCCAAATCCTCTCCTCTGGCTCTGGACACAGACCTTCCCTGGGCGTGGGCTCACCCTTGGGGAACCAACTCCTTCCCTAGGCTCAGACCCATCCCTGGGGTGCCAAATCCTTCTGGGCACCCTTTATCCATTGGCAGGGACCTTCCCTGTGGCATGGATCCATCCTGGGGGGGCCTGGAGCACCCTGGGACAGTGCAAGGTGTCCCTGCCCAAGGATGAGCGTGGAGCTCAGTTCCGAGCCCAACCCTGCCAGGATCCCATGATCCACGGGGCACCAGCTCCTTCTGAGCATCCCTGGGCACGGCCCATCCTCTGGGACCACCCCGGGCACCACAACCCGCCCAGCAGGGTCCTGCCCTGGCACCCAAACCCCCGGGATGTCCCCTGGCTGTGGGGACGGGCACTCACCCGGCGTTTTCCCCCAGGGAGATCGAGTTCCTGAAGAAGGAGACGGCGCAGCGGCGGGTGCTGGAGGAGTCGGAGCTGGCGCACAAGGAGGAGATGGAGAAGCTGCAGGAGAAGGTGGGCACGGGGCGCCGGGACGCGGGATGTCCCTGACCCCCCGCCCGGCCCCGCCCGGCCCCGCCGCTCCCGCCGCGCCAGCGATGGATCCCGGGGATCTGACTGAGCTCCGGACTGAGCCTCGGATCCCGCCCCGGAGCCTGGGGGATCTGCTCGCACCGCACCCTGCTCCCGGATCACAGGATCGCCCGGGATCATCGGCTCGGGATCGGCTCGGGCGCCCCGAGCCTCCTCCCGGGCCTGGATCCCGCTCTGGATCGCAGCGGATCTGCAGCTCTGGGGGGGCCAGAGGGGTCTCCCCGGGCGGGGGGATCCGCGGGATCCCGGGGAGCGGTGGCGGGCGGCTCCCGTTGGGATCCCATGCTGGTCATGCTGGATCCCCCACGGGCCCCGCGGATCCCGCGGGGCAGAGCGGATCCCAAAGGATCCCAAAGGATCCCGCCCGGGGGGTCGCGGGGGAGGGGCCGGCCCTGCCCGGCCGGGGGGCACCAGGGCACAGCGGGGAGGTCCCCAACAGCCAGCAGAACCCCCCCCTCCCCCACTCAGTCACCTCCATCACCCCCAAAATGTCCCCTGGCATCCCACAGAGACTCACCCAGCACCTGCCTGCAGCCCCCTCCCCATCCCGACCCATCCCTGTGCCCCCCGTGGGCCCCCCCAGTCACCCTGACCATCTCTGTGTCCTGTCCAGCCACCCTGACCATCCCCTCGACGTGACCCCCTCGCCCCCCCGGACACAGCTGGCGCCTGGCTGGACGCTGGTGGGGGTGGACACAGGACAATGTCCCCACCCCACCCCAAATGTGAGCCATGCTGGGGGGGGGACACTGGGAGCCCCCCCAGACCCAGCTCCTTCTCTTGGGACTCAGCGGAGCGCGGCCGGGGGGGCCCGGGGGGCTTTGCCCCCCCCCCACGGACTCGCCCCCAGCCCCACACCGAGGTGACCCCGGGACCATCGCCACGGGGGGGACCCCAAGTGTCCCCCCTCCCCCCTCAGTGCCACCATCGCCGGGCAGGGGGGACCCCCCCAGCGTTTGCCAACCCCACAGGGGGTGGGGGGGCACCAGCCCCACTGCCCCCCCCGGGAAGGGGGGGCTGCCTGGCACCCCTCTGTGGGGACATCCCGCTGCCCCCCCCCCAACCCCGAGCCCGGGGCTTTCGCCTTCCCCGGGCGGGGGGGACACACGGGGGTCTCCTCTGGGGTGGGGGCGATGCTCCCCCCCCTCTCACTGTAAATACCCCCCCCTCCCCCAAAACCACAGCATTTCTCTGGGGCTCGGACACCCCCCAAGCTCCGGCCGCCCCCAGCCGGGCCGGGGGGGTCCCTCCCTCTCAGCCGGGGCGGGGGGGGGGAACCCCTTTAATTTTCATTTCTATTTTGCCCCCCCCTCCTCCCCCCGCCCCCGAGTCTCCGACAGTAACTGGATGTGGGGGCAACTGGGAGCCAGAGCTGGTTATACTGGGAAGGGGAGGCGGGGGGGCGGGGGGTCCGGGGAGCGCGAGCCCCGGGGGGGGGCCGGGGTTATTTAATCTCACACGTGTACCTGTGGGTGTATATACTATATATAATGTACCTATGTACGCAGCGCTCCCGCTCTCCGCGCCCGCCGCGACCCCCGCCCCAAAAACGCCGCCTCGGCCTCCCCCCCCGCCCCAA